AGGAGCCCCTGGCGCCGCCGCCGCCGCCGCCCACCTGGCAACAGGCTCAACCCCCGCCTTCCCCTGGCCCCCGTCAGAGGCCCTGAAGCTCCAGACCCGCCCCGTCCCCAGCCGGGCAGGTGCTGGGTGACATCAGAGCTGGGCTCCCGCCCCGTGACGCGGCAGGGCCCCGCCCTGCGCTGGACCGCGGAGGTCGCGGCACCTGAAGAGGACCGGGATTCCCGTGCCCTCTCCCCATCTCCCTGCTCCGGTCGGCGCCCCCAGGTAGCCCCGAGGATCTGCGAGTTGAGGGGGCGGTGACACAGGCGCTTGGGTCCAGGGGAATGGGTACTGGGCCCTCGGACTCCTGGATCCGAGGAGGGGCCTTGGGGGCCGGTTGTCCCGGGTCTGAGGAAGGACTGCGCTGCGAGCCCGAACTCGTGGGTCTTGGAGGAGGAAAGGACTCGGGTCAGGACTGCAGTTCTGGGGTCTTAGGGGAGGAGGCGGCTGCAAGCCCGGATTCCTGGGTCTGTAGGAGCAGGGGCTGGGGGCCTGAACTCCTGGGTCTGAGACAGGAGGGCATTGAGTACTGGGACTCCGGAATCCCAGCGCTAGAAGCCAGGGTCAGACGGCTGGATGCCAAGGGCCCCAACCTCTGCCCCAGGGCGGATCCCTGGCTGCTTTTCTTTTTCAAGCCCAGCAGTCTTAGCCCCTCCCAGGGCAGGTGCTTTCACCTGCCCAGGTGACAGTAATTAGCCCTGGCAGAGTGTTCCTGCTGGTTGAGGAAGGGTAGAGCAGCCAGAGAGGCTGGGCCACTTGGAGCCAAGGCCTGCAGGCCCTGCCCGCCCCATCAGGGCTGTGATCCATCTCCAGAACTCAGCATCCTCACCTCTAGTCCGGTTGCAGTGAGGTGAGGGGGCCTGCACTTCCCCAGCCATAGGAGGAGGGGGCTGGGGGCTCAGACTCCTGGGTCCTGGGAGAGGAGGAGGCTGGGAGCCTGGACTCCTCAGCCCCCGGAAGGAAAAGGCTGGGGGCTTGGACTCTTGGCTCCAGGGAGGAGAGGCATAGGGCATAGGGTGATTGCAAAAACTCCCAAACCCTTCCTGGTCAAAGGCCACAGGGCTGGAGAGGAAGTGGATGGGGTGGGGTGGGGTGGGGTGGGTGGGGGTGAGGGTAAAGTGCCAGGGATGGAGTTTGGGTCTGGTGTATCCAGGTCACACTGGAGGCCTGGGGTGAGCCTTGACGATTTGGGGGTCACGGGGTGGAGAAACTCCCTGCTGCATTCAGAGTGCAGGGGTCCAGCGTTTGAGGCCTGAGCGCCTCAGGGCCAAGAGTCACTGGAAGCTGGAGCTGCTGGGCTCAGGGATAAGAGGAGAGGGTCTGGGAGGAAGTGGGTCCTCTGAGCGGACCTGAGATTCCCGTGGGAGAGGCTTGAGGGAAAGGCAGGAGTCTGTTGGGACCAGATCCAGGGATGCCTCCAGGGCAGCTGGGTGTTTAGAAGGACTTTTCCAGGGGTATGTGGGAGCCAGGTGGGGATGGCAGGTGAATATAGGTCTGCTGGGCAGAGGTGAAGTCCTGCTGTTGGGGAGACAGAAATCTTCCACTGTTTCTGTGATTGATGTGCTGGGGCAGTGATGGGGACATTTGAGGCAGTGGATGAGAGTAGGCGCCGGGTGTGGTGGCTCATGCCTGTAATCCCAACACTGTGGAGGCCAAGGCAGGAGGATCACTTGAGCCCAGGAATTAGAGATCAGCCTGGGTAACATAGTGAGACCCTGTCTCTACCAGAAAAAAAAAAAAAAAAAGTGCTGGGCCTGGTTTTGCACGCGTGTAGTCCCAGCTACTCAAGAGGCTGAAGTGGGAGGATCACTTGAGCATAGGAGTTGAGGCTGCAGTGAGCTGTGATTGTGCCACTGCACTCCAACTCCGGCCTGGGCAATAGAGTGAGACCTGTCTCTAAGAAAAAAAAAAAAAAAAGAGGGAGAGAGAGAGATCGAGAGTAGGGGCAGATTTCTTTAGCAGGATAGGGAGAATATTTTTCCTGCCTGGTGCTTGGACCACCTTGGAATTGCCACTACTGTCCATGACCCCCTGGATGGCAGGAGGGACCCAGCACTTTCTAGTTCCCCTAGCACCTGGTTGCCTCCGTGATAGCTGGAGCTGGATCTACCCCTAAGCCAGGAGCTCCCCCAGGCAGGGCTCCCAGCCGACTCTTCTCTGGGTCCTCAGACCCACTCAGGGCAGAGTCTCGTACTTGAAAGTCCTCAGAGAGTTAAATGAATGGGGCCAGTTTCCCCATTTTACGGAGAAGGAGCCAGGTTCCACAGAAGGAAGGAATTGTTCACTGAAGCAGTGAGATTCGAGTCTATTTGGCAGGCATGAGGTAGGCATGACCAGAGGTGATCAGGGAATCTGAATGACAAAAAATCAGGTCAATTCCCTCCCTGGGCTCACATCTTAGAGTAAAAGCAAGGTCGTACCTTTTGTTCCCTCTTTTATGTTCCCTCCCACCCTCTGCCCCTCGATCATTTGGCTCTAGCCACGCTGCCCACCTCCCAGTGCCATAGCCACACAGGTGCATTGCAGCCCCAGGGCCTTTGCACTGCTAGCCCCAGGACCTTTCCACTGCTGTCTGGAATGATTTTTTTTCTCCCAACAACCCCTTGGCTCACTCCTGTCATCTCCCTTAGGTCTTAATTTAAATGTCACGCCAGACAGGCCCTCCCTGGCCACCCTAATGAAAACTTCAACATTCTCAACCCTAACATCCCCTGTTCCCTGGTTTATTTCTCCCCTTGGCATTTATTTACCATTTAACATACTATATGACTGGGCACAGTGGCTCATGCCTGTAATCCCAGCAATTTGGGAGGCCCAGGCGGGTGGATCACCTGAGGTTGGGAGTTCGAGACCAGCCTGGCCAACATGGTGAAACCCCATCTCTACTAAAAATACAAAAATTAGCCAGGCACAGTGGCATGCACCTGTAATCCCAGCTACTTGGGAGGTTGAGGCAGGAGAATCGCTTGAACCTGGGAGGCGGAGGTTGCACTGAGCCAAGATCAAGCCATTGCACTCCAGCCTGGGTGACAGAGCGAGATTCTGTCTCAAAAAAACGAAAACAAACAAAGAATCCCCCAAAGACCACCAAACATGCTATATTTGGTTTTTGTAAAAAAAAAAAACAAAAAAGAGAGAATTTTTAAAAAACAAAAACCATACTATCTAATTTACATTTTTAATCTTTTTATCTGTCTCCTGGGATTAGAGCAGCTGTGTCCAATAGCAATATAATACAGGCCAGATGTGTAATGTAACATTTTCTAGTAGCCACATTTAATGATAAAAGTAAAAAAGGAACGGGTAACATTAATTTAATGATATATTTTATTTAACCCAGTAGATTGAAAATATTATTTCAATATGTCATTAAATATTTAAAATCTCAGCGAACTATCTTTTTGTCGTACTAAGTCTTGAAAATCTGCTGTGCGTCTTACACTTAGAACACCAGATGGGGCTATTTATATTTAAATTTTAAGATGGGGCTCGGTGGCTCACACCTGTAATCCCAGGACTTTGGGGAGCCAAGGCAGGAGGATCACTTGAGCCCAGGAGTTTGAGACCATCCTGGGCAACAAAGACGACCTTGTCTCTACAAAATAAATTTAAAAATTAGTAGGCATGGTGGCATGCCTGTTAATACATTTATTTATTTATTTATTTATTTATTTATTTATTTATATTTTGAGACAGAGTCTCGCTCTGTCACCCAGGCTGGAGTGTGGTGGCGCCATCTCGGTTCACTGCAAGCTCCGCCTCCCGGGTTCACACCATTCTCCTGCCTCAGCCTCCTGAGTAGCTGGGACTACAGGCACCCGCCACCACACCCGACTGATTTTTTGTGTTTTTAGTAGAGACGGGGTTTCACCGTGTTAGCCAGGATGGTTTCGATCTCCTGACCTCGTGATCTGCCCACCTTGGCCTCCCAAAATGCTGGGATTACAGGCATGAGCCACCGTGCCCGGCCATATTTATTTTTTAATTAATAAATTTCAGACATGAATCACCTGAGGCCGGGAAGTTGAGGATGTGGCGAGCCATGATTGCACCACTGCACTCCAGCCTGAGCAACAGAGCGAGACTCCATCTCAAAATAAAATGATATAGATTTAATTTAAATGAATGAAATTGAAAATGTGTTTCCTCAGTGACACAGGCCACATTTCTAGTGCCCAGTAGGCACAGGTGGTGGTGGCTCCCGCACTGGACAGCCCAGGGCTAGAAAGTAAACTTTTGGAGGCAGCCGTCTTCTTCCAGCTTGTCCAGTGCTCCATTGTCAATGCCCAGAACTGAGCCTGGCCGGGCATGGTGGCTCACGCCTATAATCCCAGCACTTTGGGAGAGTGAAGAGGGTAGATCACTTGAGGTCAGGAGTTCAAGACCTGCCTGGACAACATAATGAGACCCTCATTTCTACAAAAATTGAAAATAATTAGCCGGGACTGGGTATGGTGGCTCATGCCCATAATCCCAGCACTTTGGGAGGCCGAGGCGGGCAGATCACCTGAGGTCAGGAGTTCAAGACCAGCCTGGCCAACATGGTGAAACCCCGTCTCTACTATAAATACAAAAATTAGCCGGGCGTGGTGGCAGGCGCCTGTAATCCCAGCTACTCAGGAGGCTGAGGCAGGAGAATCACTTGAACCCTGGATGCCGAGGTTGCAGTGAGCTGAGATCGCGCCATTGTACTCCAGCCTGGGCAATAAGCAAGACTCTGCCTCATAAAAAAAAGAACTGACCCTCAGGGCCTGGTTCACAGCCCAGCTTATTAAAGAATGAATGAGTGCGTAGAGAGGTGAATGAATGAAATGAGTAAGCCACGTCTGTTAACCCAGAAGGGTGGCAAGAGATCTGATAAAGGAAGGCAGAGGGGCTGCCTGGGGAATTTGGGGTAGGGAAGGGAGGCACTGGGGATGGAGCCTCATCTGACCTCCACCCTCTTTCTCTGCCCCCTGCAGACCATGGCAGCTGTGACCATGTCGGTGCCTGGGCGGAAGGCGCCCCCCAGGCCAGGCCCAGTGCCCGAGGCTGCCCAGCCATTCCTGTTCACGCCCCGCGGGCCCAGCGCAGGTGGCGGGCCTGGCTCGGGCACCTCCCCGCAGGTGGAGTGGACGGCCCGGCGTCTCGTGTGGGTGCCTTCGGAGCTTCACGGGTTCGAAGCCGCGGCGCTGCGGGACGAAGGTGAGGAGGAGGCGGAGGTGGAGCTGGCGGAGAGCGGGAGGCGGCTGCGGCTGCCGCGGGACCAGATTCAGCGCATGAACCCGCCCAAGTTCAGCAAGGCCGAGGACATGGCCGAGCTGACCTGCCTCAACGAGGCCTCGGTCCTGCACAACCTCCGGGAGCGGTACTACTCGGGCCTCATCTACGTGAGTGGCCTCCTGCTGGGGGGCGGGGGACGGGGGGGCGGGGTTGCTGCCGGGTGGGGAGCCGGGTCCACACCCCAACCTGCATTACCTCGAGGCTGTGTATCATCTGTATCCCATGTCCCGTGACTATTCCTACACTTACTTGGTTGCCAAATTATGAATTAATTGTTGGATTCCTAGGACAGCCTCAGAATCTACTGGGGACATCGCATGATATATATGGTAGATAAACTGTATTATTTTCCTAAAGTATAAAATGTTCCAATTTCTCAGATATAACTCATCCCGAGTTTTAAGGAACAGAAACAGATCTGTGACAATCATTAATGTGAATCACTGAGTATAGAAATATGTTGCTTGAGGTTCAAGAGCAGCCTGGGCAACAAAACGAAACCCTGTCTCTTTTTTTTTTTGTGAGACAGAGTCTCACTCTGCACCCAGGGCTGGGAGTACAGTGGCCGGATTCTCAGCTCACTGCAAAGCCTCCGTATCTTCCCCAGGTTTACGCTTCTTCCTGCCTCAGCCTCCCGAGTAGGCTGGGGCTACAGGTGCCGCCCACCTCCCCGGTAGTTTTTGTATTTAGTAGAGACGGGTTTACCGTGTTAAGCCAGGGATGGTCTCGATCCGACCTCGTGATCCGCCCGTTCTCGGTCCTCCCAAAGTGCTAGTATTACAGGCTTGAGCCACCGCGGCCCGGCCTTGAAACACTGTCTCTTAAAAAAGATAAATTAGCCGGCGCGGTGGCTCAAGCCTGTAATCCCAGGCAGTGGGAGGGCCGAGACGGCGGATCACGAGGTCAGGAGATCGAGGGACCATCCTTGGCTAACACAGTGAAACCCCGTCTCTACTAAAAATACAAAAAAAACTTAGCCGGGCGAGGTGGCAGGCGCCTTAGTCCCAGCTACTCGGGAGGCTGAGGCAGGAGAATGGCGTGAACCGGAGCGGAGCTTGCAGTCGAGCTGAGATCCGGCCACTGCACTCCAGCCTGTGGGACAGAGCGAGACTCCGTCTCAAAAAAAAAAAAAAAAAAAAAGATAAATTAGCCAGGTGTGGTGGTGGCCCATGCCTTTAGTTCCAGCTTCCAGGGAGGCTGAGGCAGGAGGATCACTTGAGCCCCGGAGGCCAAGGCTGCAGTGAGCTGTGATGGTACCACTGCACTCCAGCCTGGGTGACAGCATAAGACCCCATCTCAAAAACAGACAAAAAGCAAAAAAGTATATGCTAGGCTCTGTGCTAAATGCCTATCTTTTAATTCATTCAATCTCATCATAGGAAAGGTAGAGTCTATTATTATTCCCATTTTACATAAGAGGCAAATCAGGCCCAGAGAGAGTTAATAACAATAAAAATGAACATTTATTAAACATTTACCAAGCCTTCTTCCAAGCTTTCTAAAATACATTGCCTCTACATTTTTGGAATTAGAAAGCATCTGATCCTCATTTTACAGGTAAGAAAATTGAGGCACAGAGAGGCCAAGTTCACACAATTAGACCTGGCAGATTCAGGTGGTTCCAGGTATTCTCACTTTGCTGTGGTGCCTCTTAAGATTGAGATGGGGCTGGGAATGGTGGTTCATACCTGTAATCCCAGCACTTTGAGAGGCTGAGGTGGGTGGGTTGCTTGAACCCAGGAGTTCGAGACCATCCTGGGCATGGCCATCCCTGCAAAAAAAAAACAAAAAAAATTAGCTGGGCATGGTGGCACACTCTTGTAGTCCCAGCTACTTGGGAGGCTGAGGTGGGAGAATCACCTGAGCCCTGCAGGTTGAGGCTGCAGTAAGCTGTGATAGTGCCACTGTACTCCAGCCTGGGTAACAGATCAAGACCCTGTCTCAAACAAAACAAAACAGTACAAAAACCCATTCAGAAGGGATTGATGATAGCTAGGTTGACTATGGTAGTCTTCCCACATCTGTGCTAAGCGCTGGATGTTCATTGCATTTTTAAAACTTTAGAGCAAACAGATGGGGTAGGGCAGTGGTTCTTAACCCCACCTGCATGGTAGAGTCATTTGGGGAATTCTTAGAAAATACCAGTGCCTGAGCCCCACCCCAGAACTTTAAATCAAGCTCTCTGGGGCTGTGACATGAGCAATGGTATTTTTAATAAGCTTCCAAGGAGGTACTAATGGGCAGCCAAGGGGTTATTAATTTCATTTAACAAAAGAGCAAACAGGATTAGAGAGATTGACAAGGAATGTGGACAGTCATAATGAAAAATAATAATAAGAGGAGGCTAGCAAATATTTAATCGAGCACTTGTGATGTGCCAAGCACTGTTCTAAGTGCGGCGTTTGAGTTATCAGCTTCTCTCTGGGCCAAGGACTGCTGATATCACCTGATGTTCAGGAATGTTAAGTGACCCACAGCCATGAAGGAATCACGCCAGGATTTGAACCCAGGCAGCTGGTTCCAGAGTCGTGTTCCAAACTCCAGTTTAGACTGGTGGAGTCTCACAGCTTTGCTCCAACATCCACCCCTTTGAGGGTCACAAAGCGGAAGATGAGAATATTTTTATGAAGCCTCACTCCTGCTTGGAGATCGAGGCTCTGAGATAAGCAGTGGCTGGCTCAGGGTCCCTCAGCTTGTGGTGGCAGGTGTGGAATTTGAATCGAGGGCTATCGGACCCTACATGGGGTTGGTGTCTTCTCCAGTCTGCACCGGCCCTTTCCAAATCCTCAAACGCCTTTACTAGTCCTGGAAAAGAGGCCTCTGCCTGAGCCACGCCCCCCACATCTCACCCAAGGCCACAGAGATCAGGATGACATGCAAAACATGGATCCACTGGTTGCCTTTTATTCATTTATATATATATATATTTTTTGAAACAGGGTCTCACTCTGTTGCCCAGGCTGCAGTGGAGCAACATGATCTTGGCTTACTGCAGCCTTCACCTCCTGGGTTCAAGCAACTCTCCTGCCTCAACCTCCTGAGTAGCTGGGACTACAGGCGTCCACCACCATGCCCAGCTAATTTTTGTATTTTTAATAGAGATGGGGTTTCACCATGTTCGCCAGGCTGGTCTCGAACCCCTGAGCTCAAGTGATCTGCCCAACTCGGCCTCTCAAACTGCTGGGATTACAGGGGTGAGCCACCGCACCCAGCCACTCTTTGCCTGAGTGCTCCCGGCAACCTTGTAAGGTATCTGCTGTCATCCCCACTCTGCAGGTGGGGAAACTGAGCCTCAGATTGGGGGGTAGGATTTGAACATAAGCCTCATAACTAGGAACCAGCTAAGCTAGAACTTGAACCCAGGTCATTGTGACTGCAGACCCCAGGTCCTAGCCATTGCACTAGGAAGATTATTCAGAAAGTTCAGTAGAAAAAGTGGTAGGGCCTGAGCTAAGGTGGTGGCCAGGGAGCCAGACTTTTGGGGCCTAAGAAATGAATGTAAGAGAGAAGATTCTAGAATTCCAGATGGGAAGCAAATTGGGCCTTAATAAAGATCATTAGCCCTTAGTGAATACCTGCTTTCTCTGCTGGGTGCTGTTCTAAGTTTCTTTCCAATGTGATCTTGTTGACCCCCTCCCCATCCACGTCAGGTTGTGAGGTAGGGATTATCACCCTCTTTTTCCCACAGCTTGGAGAGGGGAAGCCATTGGCCCAACAGAAGCTGATAGTGGCTAAAATATTAAGCATGCAGTGTTTCAAGGTCCATGTTCTGTTTTTTTGTTTTATTTGTGTGTTTGTTTGTTTGTTTTAGACATAGCCTTGCTCTGTCACACAGGCTGGAGTGCAGTGGCATGCTTACAGCTCACTGCAGCTCAACCTCCTGGGCTCAAGTGATCCTCCTGCCTGAGCCTCCTAAGTAGCTGGGACTACAGGCACATATCACCACGCCTGGCTGATTTTTTAATTTATTGTAGAGACCGTGTTTCACAGTGTTACCCAGGCTAGTCTCAAACTCCTGGACTCAAGTGATCCTCTTGCCTGGGCCTCTCAAAGTGCTGGATTTACAGGCTTGAGCCACCGCTGCACCCAGCTGGGGTTCACATTAAACCCTCTGTATGCCACATGAACTTGTGGATGACTCCCAGGCACCTTATGCAGGAAGCACTATTTCTGTCCCCATTTGCTAAAGACACTGAGACCCTGAGAGGTTCGAGCCACCTGGGCCAAAAATGTTAGAGGTGTGATTCAAACTCTGCCCTGTTTAAGACCTGTGCTTAGTACATGTTTGTTGACTGACCAACCGATGGTGGGGAAGGTGGTATTGCCCAGCGAAAAGTGGGATGTCCAGGGCTCCAGAAACCCAGTTTCTGCCACTAATATGCTGTTTGGCTTGGAGTTGCTAAGAGTCTCAGTCCCTTTCCTGGGACCCTTGGGGCAGGCAGAGAACCTCTTTGTAGAACACCCTGCTCTGAGAAACATGGAAGATGCATGATGTGATTTCACTCTCAGAACACTTCTAGGTGGTGGGTTAAAAGCCGCATTTTCCAGGGCTGGAAACTGAGGTTTAGAGAGGACACAGCCTTCATGCAAAGTCACACACAGCTCAAAAGTGCTGCATCTGAATTTGAACCCTAGATGGCTTCAAAGTCTGAACAATGAGCCTGGGAGTTTGAGGCTGCAGTGAGCCGGGATCGCGCCACTGCACTCCAGCCTGGGTGACAGAGCCAGACCCTGTCCTGCCCGCCCCCGCCAAAAAAGTCTGAGTGAGCCCAGGGCTCCCAGGTACGATGGGTAACGTAAAAGTCTCAAGACCCATGTCTGGTGTGGGACGCATGGGCGCCGCCTCGGCCTGGCTGGTTTTTATCCATGATCTCCCCTAATCCCTACAGCCTTTATAATGGGGTGGGGAGTGTCGCCCTCAGTTTCCTAAGGAGGAAACTGAGACTATGGGGAAAGTCACCGGGCTGAGGGGGGGTGGGGGCAGGTCTGTCTTCAGAGCCCCAAGGGCTGGAGCAGCCATTCCTGACCCTTCCAGGCGGACTTCCCCACCTGTCTCGACCCCGTGGGGGTGCACCAGCCTCTGTTCTTCCCCCCCCCCAGCCTTGTTGACCAGCTCAGGTTTCCGTTCCTAGGGTGTCGCCCTGGAAACAAGGTGTGGCTGGCAGGAGGGGCTGGGGTGGGAGGGTGGTGTGGGGAGTGGGTTCCTCCGCCAGCCAGGAGTGGGGGCCAGGGCGCTGGCAGCCATGAGATACCCTCCCAGGGAATGTGGTCCGGCCGCCCCACCCTCTGAGAGCTGGGGAGCTCCCGGAGCAGCCTTTTCAGGCGGGGAGGGCAGACACCCAGCAAACCGGTTGTTCCGCTCCTGGCCGGCCACCCAGGCCACCCACCCTCCCACCATTAGAAGGTTGGCACCTGGGACCAGGCAGCCTATGGTGGCCACACCCTACTCTGCCTGAGAAGCCCAAGCTCCCTGGAAGCTTAAAACAGTCCTGCTGGCCGGGCACAGTGGCTCACGCCTGTAACCCCAGGCATGCCGGGGTGGGAGGATCGCTTGAGCCCAGGGGTTCAAGACCAGCCTGGGCAACGTAGTGAGATCTGATCTCCACGAAAAGTAAAAATTTACAAAATTGGCCAGGTGTGGTGGTGCATACCTGTGCTCCCATCTGCTGGGGAGGCTGAGGCAGGAGGATTGTTTGAGCCCAAGAGGTGGAGGCTGCAGTGAGCTGTGTTCATGCCACTGCACTCCAGCCTGGGTGACAAAGTGAGATCCTGTTTCTAAAAAACAAAAGAAAAAGATAGTCCTGCTGCTAACCAGCTTAGAAAGCAGCTAGCTGGGTAGCTAGCAGAGTAGGTTACCCTACTTTGTCACACACAGCTGGAAAACACATCTTAATTTGAATCCCAGATGGCTTCAAAGTCCAGAGTAGCTAACTAGCTAAGCCACTAAGCAGCTAATTCTCTGGCTAGTTTAGCTAGCTAACTTTAGAGAGCTTGGCTAGTCAGCTCTCTGGCTGGTTTAGCTAAGTGGCTAACTAGCTCTCTAGTTATATCTAACTGCTTCTGTGAGTGTTGAACCCCTGTTGCCTACATGATTACCCCTGTGAGCTGGACTTGTTCTTAAACTGTTACAGAGTCCTGAGGCTGGGTGTGGAGGCTCACGCCTCTAATCCCAGCACTTCGGGAGGCCGAGGTGGGCAGATCACTTGAGGTCAGGAGTTTGAGACCAGCCTGGGCAACATAGAGAGACCCCGTGTCTACAAAAAAAATACACCGGGTGCGGCAGCCCAAGCCTGTAATCCCAGCAAGTGGGGAGGCTGTGGTGGCGGAATTAGTTGAGCCCAGGAGTTCAAGAGCAGCCTGGACAACGTAGTGAGACCCCATCTCTACTAAAAATACGAAAAATCAACCTAGTGGATCGACACACACTTGTGATCCCAGCTACTCTCGAGGCTGAGGTGGGAGGATTGCTTGAGTCTAGGAAGTGGAGGCTGCAGTGAGCCATGATTGTACCACTGCACTCCAGCCTGGGTAACAGAGTAAGACCCTGTCTCAAAGAGAAAAAAAAGAAAAAGACTAGGCACGGTCATTTCAGCAGAACTGTTATGTGTCTATTATCACTGGAAACTGCAGGTATGTTCCTGTTGCATTTCGGTTATTGCAGATACCACAAGCACCCTTCCAGAGATATTCCATACATATTCAAGTGAATATATAAAAAGATTCCTACCGGGTGCGGTGGCTCACGCCTGTAATCCCAACACTTTGCAAAGCCGAGGCAGATGGATCATGAGGTCAGGAGCTCGAGACCATCTTGGCTAACACAATGAAACCCCGTCTCTACTAAAAAATACACAAAATTAGCCGGGCGTGGTGGCGGGTGCCTGTAGTCCCAGCTACTTGGGAGGCCGAGGCAGGAGAATGGTGTGAACCTAGGAGGCAGAGCTTGTGGTGAGCCGAGATCGCGCCACTGCACTCCAGCCTGGGCGACACAGCGAGACTCCGTCTTTAAAAAAAAAAAAAAGATTCCTCTTCCAACCTTTCTAATGCAAATTGTAGCTCCTCACACAGTTCTCAACTCACCTCCTTTTACTCGATATTGATTTGAAGATAGTCCCGTGTCTATACACAAGAGCCTTCTAGGAATCCATCATATGAAGGTGCATTCAGGTGATTTCCAGTCTTTTGCTGCTACAAAGAGTGCCTCAACCGGTCACCTCGCACACGGTCATTTCCTGTGGGTGAGTCCAGGCAACCACAGGCTGTGACCCAAGTCTGGCTGGCTGCAAAGGCCTTGTTCTCTCAGGGTAAATCCTCACCCAGACAGTGCCTTTGTGCAATTTGGAAAGATTCTTTGCTACCATCAGCCTGAAAATGCTCATAAAAAACATTCGAGTCTATATTGTTATGGTGTAAACATACCATGTGCAGATGCCCTTGTGCAATGCACGACCTGTTCAGTGGCCCCATGACGCCTTCCAGGCTGTGGGCAGGGATCTGAGACCCTCTCCCCTCTCACCCACTGCAGACATACTCTGGCCTTTTCTGTGTGGTCATCAACCCGTACAAGCAGCTTCCCATCTACACAGAAGCCATTGTGGAGATGTACCGGGGCAAGAAGCGCCACGAGGTGCCACCTCATGTGTACGCAGTGACCGAGGGGGCCTATCGGAGCATGCTGCAGGGTGAGTGCTGGGTGGGGTTGCAGGCCAGTGAGGCAGCTCTTCAACGGGGGCCTGACCTGGGGCTGCCGGAAGCCAGAGTCCAGGTCAAATGACAACTTGAGGACTTGACTCTGTGGGGCTTCTTATGGGGCTGGAGGGAACACAAGTAGAGGCCTGAGTGGGTGAGGTGCCAGGTCCCAGAGTCTTTTTACCTATCTCTATGTTCACTGTCTCTTTATTATTATTTATTATTATTATTATTATTATTTTGAGACAGAGTCTTGCTTTGTCACCCAGGCTGGAGTGCAGTGGCACGATCTTGGCTCACTACAACCTCTGCCTCCTGGGCTCAAGCGATTCTCGTGCCTTAGCCTCCCAAGTACCTGGGACTACAGGCGTGCACCACCACGCCTGGCCTCTTTTCTTATTTTTAAATAAATTAGTTAATTTTTGGCCGGGCGCGGTGGCTTACGCCTGTAATCCCAGCACTTTGGGAGCCGAGGTGGGCGGATCGTGAGGTCGGGAGATCAAGACCATCCTGGCTAACAAGGTGAAGTCCCATCTCTACTAAAAATACAAAAAAAATTAGCCGGGTGTGGTGGTGGGCGCCTGTAGTCCCAGCTACTCGGGAGGCTGAGGCAGGAGAATGTCATGAACCCAGGAGGTGGAGCTTGCAGTGAGACAAGATCGCGCCACTGCACTCCAGCCTGGATGACACAGTAAGTCTTTGCCTCAAAAAAAAAAATTATTGGCCGGGCGCGGTGGCTCAAGCCTGTAATCCCAGCACTTTGGGAGGCCGAGACGGGCGGATCACGAGGTCAGGAGATCGAGACCATCCTGGCTAACACGGTGAAACCCCGTCTCTACTAAAAAATACAAAAAACTAGCCGGGTGAGGTGGCGGGCGCCTGTAGTCCCAGCTACTTGGGAGGCTGAGGCCGGAGAATGGCGTGAACCCGGGAGGCGGAGCTTGCAGTGAGCTGAGATCCGGCCACTGCACTCCAGCCTGGGCTACAGAGTGAGAAAAAAAAAAAAAAAAAAATTATTTATTTTTTATTTCAATAGTTTTTGGGAAACAGGCGGTGTTTGGTTGCATGTAAAAGTTCTTTAGTGGCGATTTCTGAGATTTCGGTGCACTTGCCATCAGAGCAGTGTAGACTGCACCCAATGTGTAATCTTCTATCTCTCACCACCCCGCCACCACCCTTCATCCTGAGTCCCCAAAGTCCATTGTGTCATTCTATGTCTTTGCATCCTCAGAGCTTAGCTCCCACTTATAAATGAGAACATACAATGTTTGATTCTCCATTCCCAAGTTACCTCACTTAGAATAATGGTCGCCAATTTCATCCAGGTTGCTGTGAATGCCATTATTTCATTCCTTTTTGTGGCTGAGTAGTATTCCATGGTGTATGTATGTATATATATCCCATGGTGTATATAACAAATATATATATACACACACCATGGGATATATACTCTCTCTTTATATATACTATAGATACAGATATAGATATAGATACATACACACGCACCATGGGATATATGTGTGTGTGTGTATAGACACCATGGAATACTCATATATATATGTGTGTGTGTGTATATATATGTGTATATGTATATACACACATCTCACAATTTCTTTATCCACTCGTTGGTTGATGGACATTCAGGCTGATTCCATATTTTTGCAATTGTGAATTGTGCTGCTATAAACATGTGTGTGCAAGTGTCTTTTTCATATAATAGCTTCTTTTCCTCTGGGTGGATATCCAGGGTGGGGTTGCTGGATCAAATGATAGATCTAATTTTGGCTCCTTAAGTAATCTCCATACTGTTTTTCATCTTTAAAAAATAAAAAAATAACAGCTGTTAGTGTGGATATGGTGAAACGGGAACACTTTTACACTGCTGGTGGAATGTAAACTAGTACAACCACTATTGAAAACAGTATGGAGATTCTTTAAAGATCTCTGTTCACTCTTTCTCTGGACAATATTTGTTGGGTGTGGGGCTTCTGTGAACATTTCCCTTGAGACAGTAATTCCCAGAGTTTCATTCGTTCATTCAACACTTATTGCTGAATTGTAGATCTGATCTCCATTGTCATGGGGTAAATGTAGCCCCTTAGACAGATGGCAGCACAAGGCAGTTGTGTACAGCTGGGCAGGTTGTACACTGAACAAGGGTATCCATCCAAGGGGCCACCATTCACACCATGACAACATAGATCAGTCTTGGCAAAATTACATGATTAACATCTATTATATATATAATGCCCTTATTATATATTTGATATATTTCATCTATTTTAATAAATATTTAGTATTTATTTGTTTATATCTATTAAACATTTAAATATTATATCTATTTACATCATATAACATATAATAGGCCAGCGCGGTGGCTCACGCCTGTAATCCCAGCACTTTGGGAGGCTGAGGTGGGCGGATCACGAGGTCAGGAGATCGAGACCATCCTGGCTAACGTGGTAAAACCCCATCTCTACTAAAAATACAAAAACAATTAGCCAAGCGTGGTGGCGGGTGCCTGTAGTCCCAGCTACTCGGGAGGCTGAGGCAGGAGAATGGCATGAACCCAGGAGGCTGAGCTTGCAGTGAGCGGAGATGGCACCACTGCACTCCAGCCTGGGCAACAGAATGAGACTCCGTTTCAAAAAAAAAAAAAAGTTTTTGTTACAAAAGGAAAAACCCCATGTAATAGTACACAACATTCAGACCCTTCAGTCATGACTTCAAAACCCGTCTGTGCCACTCACCATTTCTGTCCCGCACCCCAGCCTCACCCACCTTCCTGTCAAACGTCCCTAATCCAGTCCTACCTCAGGGCCTGAATATGAATATGTTATACTTATTGAATATGCATATTAAACACAAACAATTAAATGTATATATTTAAATAGTGTAATATTGTGAAAATATTATGCTTATTTAGTATGCATATTCAATAAGTGTATTATTTTATTATACTTTATTTTGTTTTATTATACTTCATTTTTATTTTATTATACTTTATATTTATTTTATTATTATATACGTGTAATGTTGATATAATAAATTATACCTATTTAATATGCATATTCAATAAGTATAATAATGTGTTAAATAGTATAACATATTAACTTAAATGGTATATTAAATAGCATAATATTGTAAACATATTATGCTGTTATTTATTTATTTTTTTTCACAGAGTGTCACTCTGTCACCCAGGCTGGAGTGCAGTGGCATGACCTTAGCTCACTGCAACCTCCACCTCCCGGGTTCAAGCCATTCTCCTGCCTCGGCCTCCCGAGTGGCTGGGACTACAGGCACATGCCACCATGCCCAGCTAATTTTTGTATTTTTAGTAGAGACAGGGTTTCACCATGTTGGCCGGGCTGGTCTTGAACTCCTGACCTCAGGTGATCCGCCTACCTCAGCCTCCCAAAGTGCTGGGATTACAGGCATGAGCCACCGCGCCCAGCCTAATATGCTTATTTAATATGCATATTAAATGAGAGTATGAAATGGGAATATTGAAGTCTCCAGGTAGAATAGTGGATTCATCTATTTCTCCTGGCAGGTCTATCAGTTTCTGCCAGATGAATTCATTTAACCTCATAGCAAATCTATGAAATAGGTTATCTCCTTGTCCCTGATTTCTGGACGGGGAAACTGAGGCACAGAGCAAAGCAGTCACTGCCCATGGTCACACTGGTGGATGTATGCTGAGGTGGGATTCGAACCCAGGGCCCCCGACCACCGCCTCCCTGTATGTCACAGCGTGTTATATTTCCTCCTGTGCTGTGCACTGTGCTGGGTGCATTTTGAACATTCTGAATTCTGACTACAGCCCTGTGAGATGGCAGCTGTTTTGAGCCCCATTTTTCAGATGGGAAAACAGGCACAAAGCAATTCAGAGACTGGCACAAGGACACGCAGCAAGTCAGAGAGACAGCTGGGTGGTGAATCTGTGTGCATATTGTCCCCTACACCAGGCTGCCAAGTCTGAGGTCCTACTGGATGCAGCTTACTCCCTGGTTTGAAGACACCCAGAGGATGTCTGTCCTGCTTAAAAAAACATTCAGACTCTTTGATCATAGCTTTATTTATTTATTTATTTATTTAGAGATGGAGTCTCACTCTTGTCGCCCAGCTGGAGTGCAATGGCACAATCTTGGCTCACTGCAACCTCCGCCTCCCAGATTCAAGCGATTCTTCTGCCTCAGCCTCCCGAGTAGCTGGGATTACAGGCGGCACCACCACACCTGGCTAATTTTTGCATTTTTAGTAGAGATGGGGTTTCACCATGTTGGCCAGGCTGGTCTTGAACTCCTGACCTCAGGTGATCTGCTGGCCTTGGCCTCCCAAAGTGCTGGGATTACGGGCGTGAGCCACTGCGTCCAGCCTAATCACGGCTTTAAAACCCATCACACCACTTGCCATCTCTGCCCCATCCCCCAACCTCACTGGCCTTTCTGTCTCTCAAACATCCCTGACTCAGAGCCTTTCCCCTGGCTGTGCCCTCTACCTGAAATGCCACCTCCTCTGAGAAGCCTTCCCTGCTCCTTCCCCCAAGTCAATTCTAATTACCTAACACCAGGGTTTTGGAATCCTGGGTCTATCGACATTTGGGGCTGGATGATTCTTCGTCGTCGGAGGCTGTCCTGGGCATTGTAGGTGTTTAGCAGCACCCCTGGCCTCTACCCACTCAGTGCCCATGGAACTCCCCTCTCTCAGGGTAATAACCAAAAATGCCTCCCAGACATCGCCAGGTGTCTTCTGGTGGGAATAGAGGACATCATTGCCCCCGTTTAAGAACCACTGCTTTATTCTATTCCTGATTTAGTTTTCTTCCCAGTGCTAATTGCTATTTGATTGTAGGTTTTTGTCCCCTGCATCTTAAGTGAAAGCTCTGTAGGGGCACACACCCTGCCAGCTCCCCAGTCCCCTCCATGCCTGGCGCTCAGTAGGTGGTCAGCATGCGATTGTGGAATGGCTGTGTTAGGCCCAGGGCGGGCGCTGGGGTAGACACCTTGTATCACAGGACCTCGCTCCTGTCTTTGAATCTCACATGCCCAGCATGAGGTGGCATACAGTAGGGTCTCATCTTGAGGTTGCTGAGTGAATCCTATTCTGTTCAGTTGAGGGAGGCTGTCTCCATTGTACAGGTGAGGAAACCAAAGGTCAGAGAGGGGCAGCTGCTTTCCCAGGGTCACACAGCAAGCAAGGGGCTGAGCTGGATGGGGAATTAGAATCCAGGAGTGTTACACATCAAGACCCAAGCTTTTCCTCACTCCTTGGGAATAATTTTAAAAAGGCAGCAGTGAGTGTAAGGGACCAGAGAGCCCTGCTAGAGACTCTCTCAAATGACATATCCCCCCACTCTGTCCCCTACAGATCGTGAGGACCAGTCCATTCTCTGCACGTGAGTAATCTGGAAGGACTTCCTGGAGGAGGAGGGAGGGGTCCGGGTGGGGCGTGGCTGTGTTTGAAATGGCCAGGGCAGGTGGGGAGCTTGCCCTAGGCAGGTAGGTCATCGCCAACCCCTTTGCTTCCCCTTGTCATCCCCACAGTGGAGAGTCTGGAGCTGGGAAGACGGAAAACACCAAGAAGGTCATCCAGTACCTCGCCCATGTGGCATCGTCGCCGAAGGGCAGGAAGGAGCCGGGTGTCCCCGTAAGCACCCCAGCCTTGGGACACCCCCTGGGCCCTGCCACAGCATCGCCCCTTCCATCTTGGGCTTTCCTCACGATTGCCTCTTCCCCTCATGGAGGACCTTCTCCTGGATGCCTGTGCCACCTGAGCACCTACTGTGTGCCTAGGGTGGGGCTGGAAGCAGAGTCAGGGGACACAGGTGTGAGGGTCAGTCTTGCTCTCATTGACTCTCGGAATGGCTCCTAGTACTTAGTAGGTGCTTTATTTTCTGAGCACCTACTGTGTCAAGCCTGATTTTAGGTGATCATGATGGCCGGGTTTGTCGTCTAAGCGAATGTTACAAGGTGCCCCCCACTGTTCCAAGCCCTGTTCTCCCACTGCCTTACTTACCCCTTGGGTGGGGTGGGTGCTGTTTTTCTGCGCTGAAGATGAAGAGCCCAGGCATGGGAGGGGTGAGTCAGTTGTTGGTCCCGCACCCAGGAAGAGGTGGAGTGGGGACCGGGCACAGTGGCTCATGCCTGTAATCCCAGCACTTTGGGAGGTCGAGGCAGGAGGATCACTTGAGCCCTGGAATTCGAGACCAGCCTGGGTAATACAGTGAGACCCCATCTCTACAAAAATTTTTTTAAATAAAGGAGGTAGAGTGGGATTCAAACCCAGGCGTGTGGTCCCCAGGCCACCCTACTCCACACACCCGGTTTCCCCAGTTCCCCTTCCCCCACCCCCCACGCCACCACCCGAGATCACCGGTTCACCTGTGTGTCTGTCCACGTTCCATGTGCTGTGTCCTGGTCCGTGTCTCGTGTCCCGTGACTTCCTCAGGCCTCCGTCAGCACCGTGTCTTATGTGAGTAGCAGGGGATCACCTCCAGTCTTGCTGCCCCTAATGCCTTCCCAGCCACCCAGTGCATGATCTTCTTGGTAGACAGGGCCCAAGGCAGCAGTGGTCCCACCTGCCAGGGATCCCCCTGCCCCCCTAGTGCTGTTCATGGAGGCCCTGCTGTGTGTGTGCAGACGGGCCACAGACACCAACATGAAACAATCCAGAGAACGAAACTACCACTTATTACTGATCTACTAAACATGTCCAGCTGGGTCCCACAGACGCTGCGTGCACACAACCAGAGAGTAGACAGTGTAGCAAGGGAAATACACGCATGCCCCGTGTTCTTCGGTGTGCCAAGTCGTGTGCCCTTCACTTTGTGTATCTTTTTTCATTTGACAAAGTATCCACCTAGCTAGATCATGTCATCTTAACACAAGCAAGACGTGGACTGAGAAAACACACATAGGCTGCCATTTACGAAGCACCTACTGTGTGCCAGGCTCTGACACCAAGGGGGTTGGAGGGAAGTTTGGAGTAGGGTTCCTGCCAAGGAGTAGCCTGGCAGGGCTAGGAACCCACTATTTTTTGAAGGCCTATTATGTGCCAGACTGCTTGAAGCACTTTATATAGGTGATACAGATTTTTGCCTTAGTTAAAAATTCTAGGCTGGGTTTGGTGGCTCAGGTCTATAATCCCAACACTTTGGAAGGCTGAAGTGGGAAGATTGCTTGAGGCCAGGAGTTCAAGACCAGGCTAGACAACAGAGTGAGACCCCATCTTTACTAAAACTTTTAAAAATTAATTGGGCATGGTGGCACTTGCCTGTAGTCCCAGCTACTCAGGAGGCTGAGGTGAGAAGATTCCTTAAGCCCGGGAATTTGAAGCTGCCATGAGTTATGACCATGCCACTGCACTCCAGAATTTCTACAAGCAACACATGAGTACATATTCATTGTAACAACAACAAATCAGATGAAATGAAATTCCTGTTTCCTCCCCTCAGTCCCCTTTCTTGGAGTGCCTTATACTGTTGACAGTTTGGTGTGCATCCTTGCAGACCTTTCTCCATATGTTTACAAACATGTATATATCTGTAGATTTAAGAGTCTTGTTTTGTGGTGTTTCTTCCTTAATTCATATTTTATGAATGGGATAACATTGTAGACATTGTTCTGCAACTTGTTTTGTTGTTTGGCTTGGTTTCATTTGGTTTCCACTTAACAATATGTCTTGGAGATGCTTCCCTCTTCCCCTCACAATAGACAGATGGGCAAGACCTGGATACAGGAAGTGGGCACACACCCAGACACACAAAGGCCCCCCACACACAGATACTCAACCAACTGGAGACACAGCCTGAGTTGGGCTGGCCTGGCCTCCTGCCCCATTCTCACTGATCTCATGCATCATCTCCTGTGCCTGGCAGGGTGAGCTAGAGCGGCAGCTGCTTCAGGCCAACCCCATCCTAGAGGCCTTTGGCAACGCCAAGACGGTGAAGAATGACAACTCCTCCCGATTCGTGAGTGCCAGGGGTGGGCAGTGCTGGCTGTGTCAGGGATACAGGAACTGGGAACCTGGGAGTGGACTTCAGGGGGAAAGACATGTGGCTCTGTTGAGGGAGGAGGGGCTGGGGTCCTGGACTCTTAAGTCTGAGGGAGGAGGGGCTGGGGGCCTGGACCCTTGGGTCTAAGAGAGGAGGGGCTGGGGCCTGGACTCCTGGGTCTGAGGGAGGAGGGACAGGGGTCTGGACTCCTGGGTCTGAGGGAGGAGGGGCTGGGGGCCTGGACTCCTGGGTCTGAGGGAGGAGGGGCTGGGACCCTGACTCCTGGGTCTGAGGGAGGAGGGGCTGGGGGTCTGGACTCCTGGGTCTGAGGGAGGAGGAGGGTCCTGGACTCCTGGGTCTGAGGGAGGAGGGGCTTGGGGTCTGGACTCCTGGGTCTGAGGGAGGAGGGGCTGGGGGCCTGGACTCCTGGGTCTGAGGGAGGAGGGGCTGGGACCCTGACTCCTGGGTCTGAGGGAGGAGGGGCTGGGGGCCTGGACTCCTGGGTCTGAGGGAGGAGGGGCCGGGGGCCTGGACTCCTGGGTCTGAGGGAGGAGGAGGGGCCTGGACTCCTGGGTCTGAGGGAGGAGGGGCTGGGGGTCTGGACTCCTGGGTCTGAGGGAGGAGGGGCTGGGGGCCTGGACTCCTGGGTCTGAGGGAGGAGGGGCTTGGGGCCTGGACTCCTGGGTCTGAGGGAGGAGGGGCTGGGGGTCTGGACTCCTGGGTCTGAGGGAGGAGGGGCTGGGGGCCTGGACTCCTGGGTCTGAGGGAGAATGGGCTGGAGGCTGGGTGCCTGATTCCAAGGGAGGAGCAGCTGGGGACGGGGGGCTGGAGAAAGAAGTCTAAGGAGCCAAGACCTTGAATTCCCACAGAGTCCCTCGCTGGGGACTCACCATAGGATGGGGTTCAGGTAGAGGCAGCAAGGAAGTGCGGAGGCAGCCCCAGCTCTGGGAGCAGTGGGTGTGGGGTTTGGGCTGTTCTTCAGGTCTGAGCGGGGAAGGGGACCCTCCGCTGAAGCCCACCCACCTTGGTCTCTCCCAGGGCAAATTCATCCGCATCAACTTCGACGTTGCTGGGTACATCGTGGGCGCCAACATTGAGACCTGTATCCTGTCACAGCCCATGGGGGTGGCAGCCGAGGGGGCAGCCTTTCAGACAGCACTGAGTATGGGAAGCACCTCCCACCGCAGGGACCCCCTCCCTGCTACTCAGATGGGACCGGGTGCTCAGGCGGCATCTGCATGGGGAGGGGAGGGTGGGACTTCTGGTGTGTATGAGGCCAGTACAGCCTTGCTATGGGGTGGTGGGTTGGTGTCCACCCAGTTCAGCCATAAGGGGAGTCCCAGCACTCAGCCTGCAATGGCACTCATGGTGACCCATGACAGTGAAATGACATAGAGCAGTGTAAGCAAAGGGAAAAGGCACGTGGGGCTATGTCCCCCAGGGACCAGGCACAGGCTCCTAGAACCCTCTCCAGCAGAGGCACACAGGACACCAGGTGGGGCAACACTTATGAAATGCTGTCCCAGAGAAGCGCAGAGAGACTCAGTGTCAGGGTTTTCATTGGGGGCTGGTCACATCCCCACCTACACCCCCCGCCCCCCGCCCTTAGTATGAACCTAAATTCCACATTCCCAGGAGGAAAGCAGGTGATCAGTGTAAACCAGGGTGTTTGCACAAACCCTTTAGGCCCAGCGAACCCCTCTCATCCTGTTAGAGGATGCTGGAACCCTCCTGAAATCCAGGTCCCCAGACGTTAGCCAGGGGCCCACCTGGCCAGCAGGCCTTTCCAGGGGAGCATCTCAGGCCGGCTGTGTTCACCCTTTTCTGTTCAGACGGCATATGGGTGTTTAAAGGAAATTAAACGATAAAACACAGGCACTCTGGGAGTGCAGAAATTAAGAGGATGGGCCAAGAAATCGTACCAACCTAGGTTCAAATCCCAGTTCTGCCACTTTGAGACACTGGGGACTTGGGTATGTGATTTGGCCTTTCCCTGCCTCAGTTTCTCCCTCTGTAGAAGCAGAAGGAACATAGAACCTACCCTAGAGGGGTCTGGAGGATTTTGGAGTTAAATGCTTGGCCACAGCACCTGCTACATAGCAGGCACTCAAGAACAAGCTATTGTTATTAGCAATTAGTGATTAAATTAGTGACCAGGCACGGTGGCTCAAGCTTGTAATCCCAGTACTTTGGGTGGCCAAGGCAGGTAGGTCATTTGAGGCCAGGAGTTTGAAGGGTTAAGCAAAGTGTCTGGTGTTTTGTTTTACTCTAAGATGTCTTGGCTGGGTGCAGTGGCTCATGCCTATAATCCCAGCACTTTGGGAGGCTAAGGCTGGAGGATCGCTTGAGCTCAGGAATTTGAAGCCAGTCTGGGCATCACAGTGAGACCTCATCTCTACTAAAATAAAGAAAGTTTAAAAATTAGCCAGGTATGGTTGTGTACACCTGTAGTCCCAGCTACTCAAGAGGCTGAGGTGGGAGTATCGCTTGAGCTGGGGAGGTGGAGGTTATAGTGAGCAGTGCCTTGTGCTGCTGCACTCCAGCCAGGGCAACAGAGCCAGACCCCGTCTAAAAAACAAAAAACAAGAGTCTTGCCACCTTTTAATATGTAAGTTTGACACGTGACTTTCTTAGGAGGGAGAGTATGCAGAGACAGTCTAGTTGAAAATGGGAGCTGAGGTATCTGCATGGGAAAGCTGAGGCTGGGAGAGTACTAATGGCAGGAGACATTCTCACCCGCGGGTAACTTTGAACCAGGCATTGTTCAGAGTGCTTCATGCACAGTAAGTCATTTATCCTCACAGCAACTCATCCAGGATCGATGAGGGGTTGTTTTGTTTTGTTTTGTTTTTGAGACGGAGTCTCACTCTGTCGCCCAGGCTGGAGTGCAGTGGCGCAATCTTGGCTCACTGCAACCTCCTCCTCCCAGGTTAAAGCGATTCTCCTGCCTCAGCCTCCCAAGTAGCTGGGATTACAGGCACCTGTCATCACACCTGGCTAATTTTTGTATTTTTAGTAGAGATGGGGTTTCACCATGTTGGCTAGGCTGGTCTTGAACTCCTGACCTCAGGTGATCCACCTGCCTCAGCTTTCCAAAGTGCTGGGATTACAGGCGTGAGCCACCGCACCCACAGGATTGATGAGTTTTTTAGAGACAGAGCAAGACCCTGTCTCGAGAGAGAGAGAGAGAGAGAGAGAGAGAGAGAGAGAGAGAGAGGAAGGTCTCATAAAGGTGTTATTTTTGAGCCCCTTGAACAGGTAGATGAGGAAACTGAGGCACAAGTGCTTATGTGACATCAGCACGGCTGCTCATCCAGTTAGTGGCAAAGTCACTAGCCTGGGCTGTGAACGACTCCACTGCTCCACAGGCGAGAAGGAGGCAGCGTGGGCAGGGCAGGCCCCTGTAGTGGCCTGGCAGCGTCGGGGCCATCCCTTCCCCTCTGTCTAGCACCTTGACTCGCTATGACCAGACCTGCTGGAGAAGTCGCGGGCCATCCGCCAGGCCAAGGACGAGTGCAGCTTCCACATCTTCTACCAGCTGCTGGGGGGCGCTGGAGAGCAGCTCAAAGGTCAGTACCGCCCCGTCTCACCCTGCTCACCAGGGAGAGGGTGGGGTCTCTCGGTGGACCCCCTCTGGGGAGGAAGCAAGAGCGGGGGGCTCTAATCTCCGTCAAACACCGACTTCACATGAGGCTTCCGCAGCCCCGGCTCTCCCTGCGTAGTGGCGTCTGTCGCACGGTGGGTTCTGCTGCGCTCTGGTTCCAGCTGTGTCCCGGGTCTGGCTCGCGCCCGCTGTCAAGGCCACGCAGCCCCCGCCGCCTGGTGGCTCCTGCTCACGCTCGCTTCCGAAGCTCCGTGGCTTCTCTCTCGCGCGGCTTCTCCTCACTCCGGCGGGTGACTCCGGCTTTGCTGAGGCTCCTCCTGGTTCCTGACGATGCTGGTTTGTGTTGCTTCTCGGCTCCTGCTGCCTCGTGCTCCCCTCTGCTCTGGCTCCTAGGCCACGGCTCCTGCCGGAGTCCTCCTGTCCCTGCTCCCTGTTCCTCCTGCCCTCTGGCTGCCCAAGCGCCCTTGGCTCCTGTTTGCAGTGGCTGGCACTGCCCTGCGGCTCCCTCTGCTCCTGGCTCCTTCCTCCTGGTGGCTGAGGCCGCTTCCTGCCTCCTGCAGCCACGTAGCCCCTCCTCATCCGGGTTCCCACTCACTGTGGCCTTTGAGACCGCATGTCCTTGGGCGCCGGCCCCTGCCATCACATGGCTTGTGCTGACTTGGGCCTGCAGCCCTACTGCTTCTGCCAACCAGTGGCCCCTGCCTGCTCTGGGCACTTCTAGAGACTCGAAAGTCCCTGCGGAGGGAGCAAAGAGGAGTGGTATAGGCTGGGCAGGGGCTCATGCCTGCAATCCCAGTACTTTGGGAGGGCGAGGCAGGAGGATTGCTTGAGCCCAGCAATTCCAATCCAGCCAGGGCAGCATAGTGAAACTCCATCTCTATAAAAAATAATAATAATAATAATAAGCTGGGCGTAGTGGCACACAGCTGTAGTCCCAGCTATGTGGGAGGCTGAGGTGGGAGGATTGCTTGAGCCCAGCAATTCCAATCCAGCCAGGGCAGCATAGTGAAACTCCATCTCTATAAAAAATAATAATAATAATAATAAGCTGGGCGTAGTGGCACACAGCTGTAGTCCCAGCTATGTGGGAGGCTGAGGTGGGAGGATTGCTTGAGCCCAGGAGTTTGAGGCTGTAGTGAGCCGTGATTGCATCACTGCACTCCAGCCCGGGCAACAGAGTAAGACCCTGTCTCTAAGAAAATTTTTAAAAAGGCCGGGCGCAGTGGCTCACACCTGTAATCTCAGCACTTTGGGAGGCCGAGGCGGGCGGATCACGAGGTCAGGAGATCGAGACCATCCTGGCTAATACAGTGAAACCCCGTCTCTACTAAAAATACAAAAAAATTAGCCGGGCGTGGTGTTGGGCGCCTGTAGTCCCAGCTTCTCAGGAGGCTGAGGCAGGAGAGTGGCGTGAACCCGGGAGGCGGAGCTTGCAGTGAGCCGAGATCGCTCCACTGCACTCTGGTCTGGGCAACAGAGCGAGACTCCGTCTCAAAAAAAAAAAAAGAGAGAGAGAGAGAGTGGTGGTTTCATAGGTGCTAAACACCCACTCCACCCCTGACCCTTCCCACCACACTTGTGAGTAAAGGCCTCCACCTGCTTGACAGAGAGGATGTGGCATGTCCTGGGATTGCCACCGATGCATCCAGGATGAGTCCGACTCCACAGCCCACCCTTGACCTTGACCCCGCTCATTGCCCCTGCAGCTGACCTCCTCCTCGAGCCCTGCTCCCAGTACCGGTTCCTGACCAACGGGCCATCATCCTCTCCCGGCCAGGAGCGGGAACTCTTCCAGGAGACGCTGGAGTCGCTGCGGGTCCTGGGATTCACCCACGAGGAAATCATCTGTGAGTGAGCCCCATGGAGGCCAGGGTGGGGGGGGCACGCACGGAGAGCCGGGGACCTGGCCATTGATGCCCTGACCTCTTTGCTCAAGTGTTTATTGAGCACCTACTGGGTGCAGGCACTAGGGCCAGAGCAGGACATGAGACTCACAGACATCGCTGCCTTGGGGAAGCTGACAAAATGAGAGCCCCCAACCAAGTCAATAAGGAATCACATGGCCTGTTAGTAGACTATGAGTGCAGCTGGGTGCGGTGGCTCACGCCTGTAATCCCAGCACTTTGGGAGTCCGAGGCGGGTGGATCATTTGAGGTCAGGAGTTCGAGACCAGCCTGGCCAACATGGTGAAACACCGTTTCTACTGAAAATACAAAAAAGTTAGCCAGGCGTGGTGGTGGGCACCTGTAATCCCAGCTACTCAGGAGGCTTAGGCAGGAGAATCGCATGAACCTAGGAGGCGGAGGTTGCAGTGAGCTGAGATTGCACCACTGCACTCCAGCCTGGGCGACAGAGTGAGACTCTGTCTAAAAAAAAAAAAAAAAGACCATGAGTGCCATGGAGACAGATAACCAGGGGACTGGGGAGGGAGGGACACAGCTCTAAACAGGGGCTCACAGGAGGGTGGACTGAGATGGGGATGTTTGAGTGAAGTCCTGAGGAAGTGAGGGAATGAGCACTGGAGATGCGGGGGAAGAGCGTTCCTGGCCGAGGGAACAGCCTGTGCAAAGGCCCTGAGGCAGGAAAGGGGTGGCATATTTGAGGGGTTGACACTTCTGGTGGTGGGGCTGCAGAGGGGTGGGAAGTCTCACACACCAGCCTAGGAGGTTGGGACTTTATCCTGGGGTGCTGGGGAGCTGTGGGAGGGCTGGGAGCAGGGGCTGGACAAAGTCAGCTCTGGGAGCAAGAAGACCCCTCGGGGGCCGTGTGAGGGACACGCTGGAGTGGGTGGTGCTGAGACCAGAAGGAGGCTGCTGAGGGTCTAGGGAAAGCCCAGGATGCTGGCCCAGGGCTGCAAGGTTGGCCCAGGCTGCGCGGCACTGGTTGTTTGGTGTTAAGTGCTCAGCTCATCACCCCCGTGTCAGGGTGCTGTGCCCGACCCCTTTTTTCTTCTTTTGAGATGGAGTCTCACTCTGTCGCCCAGGCTGGAGTGCAGTGGCACGATCTCAGCCCACTGCAACCTCCGCCTCCCGTATTCAAGTAATTCTCCTGCCTCAGCCTCCTGAGTAGGTGGGATTACAGGCGCCCGCCACCACGCCTGGATAATTTTTCTATTTTCAGTAGAGATGGGATTTCACCGTGTTGGCCAGGCTGGTCTCAAACTCCTGACCTCAGGTGATCCACCCTCCTCGGTCTCTCAAAGTGCTGGGATTCCAGGCATGAGCTGCTGTGCCCAGCCTGTGCCCCCACTTTTTTTTGCCAAACAGCATGTTTTGACAGCAGCTCTGTTTCAGTGCTGCATTAGTTTGCTTAGGTTAACAAAGTACCGCAAACCAAGTGCCTAAAATAACAGAAATTGATCGTCTTGTGGTCCTGGAGGCCAGACGCCCGGGATCATCGTGTTAGCAAGGGTGGTTCGTTCTGGGAGAATCGGCTCCAGGCCTCTCCCCCGATCATCGTGTTAGCAAGGGTGGTTGGTCCTGGGAGAATCGGCTCCAGGCCTCTCCCCGGGCTCCTGGTAGTTTTCTGGTAATCTTCGGTGTTCCTTGGTTCATAGTCACATCACCCGATCTGTGCTTTTGTGTTCACATGGCAGCTCCCTGTGTGTGCATCTATGTCCAAAATCCCCACTTCCCCCGCCCCCGCAACCTTTTTGTTTTTTTTGAGATGGAGTCTCGCTCTATTGCCCAGGCTGGAGTGCAATGGCGCAATCTCAGCTCACTGCAACCTCCACCTCCCGGGTTCAAGCGATTCTCCTGCCTCAGCCTCCTAAGTAGCTGGGATTACAGGCGTGCACCACTACACTCAGCTAATTTTTTTGTACTTTTAATAGAGACGGAGTTTCACTAAGTTGGCCAGGCTGGTCTTGAACTGCTGACCTCAAGTGATCCTCCCGCCTTGACCTCCCAAAGTGCTGGGATTACAGGCATGAGCCACCACACCTAGCCTCCTACCCCACTCCGGTATGACTTTATCTTTACTCATTACGCCCATAATGACCCTGTTTCCAATAATGTCACATTCTGAGGTCCTGGGGTTTGGATCCTCAACATACCTTTTTAGGTGGGGGTGGTGTCGACATGATTCAGTCCATAACAAGTACATAGGTGGACCTCCGCCTTTTCAGAGGCTGCATAATGTTTCATTGTTTGCACGAACTATGATTCTTTTAACCAAGCCCTCCAAAGAAAAACCTTTAGGTGCTTCCGGGGCTGAGCCGGGGCTGCCTCTGGGTCTAATTGGCCTCTGGCCTCTGGCGCTGTGGGAGGCCCCAGGAGCTATTGTTGGCTCCAGGGCCGGATTGGAAGGGCTGGAAATGGAGCGTAGCTTGGCTGTCTACCCAGGCTGCAAACAGCCGGGCCTCTTGTGGCCTATTGACACAGGGTCTCGGGCCTCTCCCACCCCCACCCCGCTGCATTTCCCAACCGTGGTTGCATAATTCCCCGGCCTGCATGACTCCGCAGCTGGGCATCTGGCACACAAATTCAGACTGTGGCTGCAATGGGGACCTGGGCCTCCCAGCCTGTCCTCTTAGGTCCTGCCTGGCCTCTTGTCACCATGAGCTCATGTGACCCTCCTGGCAGCTGCCCTGCTGTGTGGCGGGTGCAGGCAGCAGCTCTGATTTTTGGAATTCAGAAATAAAAACTTTGCAGCAACCTATGCATGTAGTGACATAACCTGAATGTGGCTAAAGGTCGTACCGACAAAACCAAGCCTTCCCGCTCTTCCCTGGCCCTAGTTCCCCACTGTTAAGCTTCTTGTGTCTCCTTCCAGAAATATTTTAGGAATATAAGAAAAGACACATATTATTTTTCTATAAGAGGAGGCATTCTCTAGCCCCACAACTGATGTTCAGCTGTCAACATCACTGTGGTGATAAAAAAAAAACGTGAAGCGATTTCTCTATTGGTTCAAAAGTTCCGACCAGGCTCAGTGGCACATGCCTGTAATCCCAACAGTTTGGGAGGCCAATGCGGGCAGATCACCTGAGGTCAGGAGTTCGAGACCAGCCTGGCCAACATGGAGAAAACCCGTCTCTACTAAAAATACAAAAATTAGCCAGACATGGTGGTGTGCACCTGTAGTCCCTGTTACTCGGGAGGCTGAGGCTAGAGAATCACTCGAACCTGGGAGGCAGAGGTTGCAGTGAGCCAAGATCTCACCACTGCACTCCAGCTTGGAGCAGAGCGAAACTCCATCCAAAAAAAAAAAAAAAAGTTCCTGGATGTTGGTTGCTCCAGCTGGCTCCCTACCCTTCCACTGGAGACCCCCCTGGACCCTGGCCCAGCACTCTGGCCTAGTTTAGTCTGGGCCAGGCAGTGCTGGAGTTAAATACTCAGCTCATCATTGGCTCACTCCTGTAATCCCAACACTTCGGGAAGCCAAGGTGGGAGAATCACTTGAGGCCTGGAGTTTGAGACCAGCCTGAGCAATATGGTGAGACCCTGTCTCTACTAAAAATTTTAAAAAAAAAAATATTAACCAGGTGTGGTGGTGCACACCTGTAGTCCCAGCTGCTTGGGAGGCTGAGGTGGGAGGATTAAGTCCAGGAGTAGGAGGCTACAGTGAGCTATGATTGCACCACTGTACTCCAGGCTGGTGATAGAATGAGACCCCATCTCAAAAAACCCCAAAACAAAGACAAAAATTACTCAGCTCATCATTCCCATGGAAGGATGCTCTGGACCACCCTCCCTCTCCACCCACCCACTGCCCTTTCCTACTGACTGGTATATTTTGGCCATAGTTTTGGTACAAAATGTACAGATGGACCTCACTCCTTTTTGCAGCTGCGTGAGGTTTTATTGTTTAAATAAACTATGATTCTTTCAACCAATCCCTTGCAGATAGAGCCTTAGGTTGTTTCCATTCCATTACTACTGGAACAATTTTTAAAAAAAATACTAAGGCAGCGCAGTGGCTCACGCCTGTAATCCCAGCACTTTCAGAGGCCAAAGCAGGCAGCTTGCTTGAGTTCAGGAGTTTGAGACCAGCCTGGGCAACATGATGAAACCCCGTCTTCACAAAAAACACAAAAAATTACCTGGGCGTGGTGGTGGGCGCCTTTACTCCCAGCTACTTGGGGGGCTGAGGTGGGAGGATCACTTGAGCCCGGGAGGTGGAGGCTGCAGTGAGCCGAGATCACGCCCCTGCACTCCAGCCTGGGTGACAAAGTAAGACTCTGCGTCCAAAACAAACAAACAAGCGACTGTGAATATCCTTGTAAGTAGGTTCTTGTGCTCACGTGGAAACAGACCTGTAGGTACAATTCTCAGAAATGAAATGCCGGCTGGGCGTGGTGGCTCACACCTGTAATCCCAGCACTTTGGGAGGCCGAGGCAGGCGGATCACGAGGTCAAAAGCTTGAGACAAGCCTGACCAACATGGTGAAACCCCGTCTCTACTAAAAACACAAAAATTAGATGGGTGTGGTGGCAAGACTGTCTCAAAAACAGAAAAGAAAAGAAAAGAAAAGAAAAGAAATGAAATGCCATGTCCAAAGAGATTTGTGATTCTTGTTTGTGTTCAGCATAAAAAAAAGAATCGAAGAGCTTCAAGATATAATTCACATGTCACACCATTCACCTATTTAAACTGTGCAATTCCATAGAATTTTGTATATTCACAGAGTTGTGCATCTATCATACAGTCACTTTTAGAACACTTTCAGTAGCCCAAGAAGATAACACACGCCCCTTAGCTATCCCCCCAGGCCCTGTCCGCAGCCCCTGGCAACCACTCCTCTGCTTTCTGTCTCTACGGACTTGCCTATTCTGGACATTTTTGTTTTGTTTTGTTTTTTGAGACGGAGTCTCACTCTGTCGCCCAGGCTGGAGTGCAGTGCCGCGATCTGGGCTTACTGCAAGCTCCGCCTCCCGGGTTCCCGCCATTCTCCTGCCTCAGCCTCCCGAGTAGCTGGGACTACAGGCGCCGCCACCTCGCCCGGCTAGTTTTTTGTATTTTTAGTAGAGACGGGGTTTCACCGCGTTAGCCAGGATGGTCTCGGTCTCCTGACCTTGTGATCCACTCGCCTCGGCCTCCCAAAGTGCTGGGATTACAAGGGTGAGCCACCGTGCCCGGCCGTGAGCATTTTTTAAATTGCAGAGAATCTACTTCGTCGCCATCCACAGGGTGGCGCTAGTTTCCAGTTCCTCCAGCCATATATGGGGAGCACCTGTGTATCCACCTGCTCGCAGCAACCATGGCTGGAAGCTTTTTTGTGTTTACTGATGTGGCGGATGAATGAGCTCTCATTACAGTTGCTTTCTGTGTTTTGCTTACAAAGGGTGGAGTTGGTCACCTTTTCACAGACTCTTCTTTTGACAAGAGACAGAGGGTCAGGGAGGTGGGGTGTCCTGTCACCTCCCTGACCCTCCCTGACCCTGAATTGGGACTCACCCCAATTCAGGAGGAGGAGGCAGAGCCGTGGTGGAATCCACATCTGACCCCAAAGCCAGCCCATGATCCAGAGAGAGAGGCAGACACCTCAGTGTCACCCACAGGGAGCCCAAGGCAGAAAGCATTTGGGGCCAATCAATGCAGGGTGTCCATCCATCTCCTTCCCCACTTCACATCTCCACCTGCCAGCCCTTGGCACCATAAATGCCATGCTGAGAGGTTCAGCAGGTAGCGTGGGACACAGGGAGGCGTGCCGGCCTCTCACATGAGGCGTCCGCAGGCCGGGCTTGCTAGTGATGGGCGAGTCTGATGTCAGCAAGAGCTGACTGCCAAGTCCTCAGGGCATCAGAGGCACCCCGGGGCCTGGCACAAACACAGCTTCGTAAGCCAACTGCAGGAGGCCATTTTATTTGTTTTTTTTTTGAGACGGAGTCTCGCTCTGTCTCCCAGGCTGGAGTGCAGTGGCCGGATCTCAGCTCATTGCAAGCTCCGCCTCCCGGGTTTACGCCATTCTCCTGCCTCAGTCTCCAGAGTAGGTGGGACTACAGGTGCCCGCCACCTTGCCCGGCTAGTTTTTTGTATTTTTAGTAGAGACGGGGTTTCACCGTGTTAACCAGGATGGTGTCGATCTCCCAACCTCGTGATCCCCCCGTCTCGGCCTCCCAAAGTGCTGGGATTACAGGCTTGAGCCACTGCGCCCGGCCAGGAGGCCATTTTAAAGGCCATTGAGGGAAGCCAGGTCTGGACGGTGTCTAAGCTGATGTTAAGGAATGATCATTAAGTTTGCTGGGCCAGATGTGCTGTGGGTCTGTGAGGATGTGTCCTTCTTTATTTATGGGTTTTTTTGTTTTTTGAGATGGAGTCTAGCTCTGTTGCCCAGGCTGGAGCAGAGTGTGGTGGTGTAATCTCAGCTTACTCCAGCCTCTGCCTCCCAGGTTCAAGCAAATCTCCCATTTCAGCCTCCCGAGTAGCTGGGGTTACAGGCACTCGCCACCACACCCAGCTTATATTTTGTATTTTTGGTAGAGACGGGGTTTCACCATGTTGGCCAGGCTGGTCTTGAACTCCTGACCTCAAGTGATCCACTCGCCTTGGCCGTTTAAAGTGTGGGGATTACAGGTGTGAGCCACCGCGCCCAGCCTAGGATCCTTCATTTAATCATATCTGCAAAGTCCCTTTTGCCATGGAAGATCACATTCACAGGTCCCAGGGATTAGGTTATGGGTATTGTTGGGGGCTGTTATTCATCCTGCCACCCCCTCTGAAAACATCAGTGTGTATTTCCTAAGAACATTCTTTTACACAACCACAGACCCGCAGTGTCACCAGGAAATCGACTTCAGCACAGTACCATTATCCAGTCCACAGACCTTACACCAGTTGTCCCCCAGCTCCAAAAAAAAAAAAAATTCTCTCTTGCGCATTATGGAGTTTCGCTCTTGTTCCCCAGGCTGGAGTGCAGTGGCCTGATCTCGGCTTACAGCAACCTCTGTCTCCCGGGTTCAAGTGATTCTCCTGCCTCAGGCTCCTGAGTAGCTGGGGTTACAGGTGCACGCCACCACGCCCGGCTAATTTTGTATTTTTGATAGAGACGCAGTTTCTCCATGTTGGCCAGGTTGGTCTCGAACTCCTGACCTCGGGTGATCCACCCGCCTCAGCCTCCCAAAATGCTGGGATTGTAGGCTTGAGCCGCTGTGCCCAGCCCTCTTGCTCTCTTTTTTTCCTGGTCATCACATCTCTTTTTTTTTTTTTTTTTTCTTTAACGGAGTCCGCTCTTTTTGCTCCGGCTGGATGCAGTGGCGCATCTCTGGCTCACCGCAAAAGCTCCACCTCCTGGGTTTCGACTGCTCATTCCCTCCTGCTCAGCCTACCGAGTAGCTGGGAACTGAAGGCGCCCGCACACGCCCGTCACACGCCCGGCCTAATTTTTTGTAATTTTTTAGTACAAACAGCCGGTTTCACTGTGTTAGCGCAGGATGGTCCGATCTCGCTGACCCTTGTGATTGCGCGCCTCGGCCTCCCAAAAGTTCTGGGATTACAGGCGCCCGGCCCAACACTCTTTACTCTCCTTCAGTCTGGAACTCTTCCTGATCTTTCTTTATCATTCCAATGGTTTGAGCACTTTGGAAGATTACAGACTGGTTGTTCCGTCTTCTATTTGGGTTTGTTTCCCTGCGATTACATTCTAGTTACACGTTTTTGGCAAGAGTATCCAGAAGAAAAGCCGCCTCCACCCGCACTCACACACACCTTTTTCTAAACCAACCTTTGTGTTGAAGTACAGTATATACACCAATAAAATGAGCACAAGCCATTGGCATCCAGCTTGGGGAGTTTTGGAGGGAACACTCTGTATATCCAGCACCGCGGGAGCCCCCCATTGTCCCTTCCCACCACCAGTACCCCTTCAAGGTAACCATTTATTCTGACTTCTTTCTTTTTTTTTTTTTTTCTTTTTTGAGACAGAGGTCTCGCTCTGTTGCCCAGACTGAGTGCAGTGGCGCTATCTTGGCTCACTGGCAAGCTCTGCCTCCTGGGTTCATGCCATTCTTCTGCTCAGCCTCCTGAGTAGCTGGGACACAGCCGCGCACCACCCGGCTAATTTTCTTTTTTTTTTTTTTTGTATTTTTAGTAAGAGCACACGGGTTTCACCGGTGTTGCCAAGGGACTAGACTCTCCTCGACCCTCCGTGATTGTCCACCTCGGTATCCCAAAGTGCTAGAATTACAGGCATGAGCCACCGCGCCCAGCCCATTATTCCAACTTCTGAGTATGGAGTTGTGTTGCCTCTTCTTGGATTTGTTACAAATAGAATCACATGGTGTGCACTTTCTCACCTGGCTTCTTTCACTCGACCGTGTGTTTGTGACATTCATCCGTGTTCAGTGAGGGAAGGGGGCTTTGGAGAGGCCGGTTCCACAGACACACTGGCTTTGTAAACATTCCTGGAGCTGGACGTCTATAGTATGTGTCCCTTTCTGTATGTGTGCTGTGCATACGTATTTACATTCATAAACCTATGCTAACCTATGCTAACCAGTGCAAGTCACAAGAATCGACTATACTTTATATTTCCACCCTTTTGCACATAGATAGCAGTAAGCCGCTAGTTTTCACTCATTGTGGTAGAAGTCTTTCCATATCACTGTAGACCTTCGTTCATTTCCCTAAGTCCTTTTAAATTCTATTTGCACTGTTTCACAAAATACACAACATAAGCAGACACTGGTTAAGTATCATAGCGATAGGGCAAACCTCAGATATAATAAACTCAAACCAGAATTCACTGATCTGTTCACGTATTTCAAGGCCTGCCCAGTGTCAAAGATGGAGTCTTTTTTTATTTTTTTTTGAGATGGAGTCTTGCTGTGTTGCTCAGGCTGATCTCAAACTCCTGGGCTCAAGCGATCCTCCCGCCTCGCCCTCCCAAAGTGCTGGGATTACAGGTGCGAGCTATCATGTCGAGCCCACAAGTGGATTTTAAGCTGAGGGGTGGTGATATAATTTGCCTTAAGCTTTTTAAGTTACATTTTTAAGGGGCCAGTTAAGACCAAACATCAGGGTCCAGAGCCACATGTGACCTCTGTCCTTGTGTCCCCAGCCATGCTGCGGATGGTCTCAGCAGTTCTGCAGTTCGGCAACATCGCCTTGAAGAGGGAACGGAACACGGATCAAGCCACCATGCCTGACAACACAGGTACTGCCCCCGGCCTGCCTGCCCACGACCCCCAGCCCCTGCCCAGGTGGTGCCCAGCCCTCCTGCACCCCTGTCCCACATAGAAAGCATCTCCCTTCCAGCCACACCTGTCTCCATCCCAGGATCACTCTGATTTCCTTCTTTTTTTTTTTTTTTTTTTTTGAGACAGAGTCTCGCTCTGTCGCCCAGGAGTGCAGTGGTGTGATCTCGGCTCACTGCAAGCTCCGCCTCCCGTGTTCAAGCAATTCTCCCTGCCTCAGCCTCCCGAGTATCTGGGATTACAGGCACGCACCACCATGTCAGGCTAATTTTTGTATTTTTAGTACAGACGGGGTTTCACCATGTTGGCCAGGTTGGTCTCAAACTCCTGACCTCAGGTGATCTGCCTGCCTTGGCCTCCCAAAGGGCCTCCCTGGGATTACAGGCAGGAGCCGCCATGCCTGCCTCCAGTGTAGCTTTTAGTGACTGCAGAACATTCTTTCAAATGGGCCAGGCACCTGTAATCCCAGCTGCTCAGGAGCTGAGGCAGGAGAATCACTTGAACCAGGGAGGCAGAGGTTGTAGTGAGCTGAGACTGCATCACTGCACTCCAGCCTGGGTGATGAGAGCCTAACTCTGTCTCGAAAACAAAACAAAACAACAACAACGACAAAAAACACATTCAGAATATTCTTTCAAATGGATGAAGCCCGACCCATCTAACCAACGCCCGCTTCTTGGGCCCTCAGGTTGTTTCCTGGTTTTCTCCGATTATAAACAACACTGCTCTGAACATCCTCGTGGTGCGGTCTTTGCTCACGTGTGGGTTATTTTGCCAGTTCTGGTTCCTGGAAAGAGAACAGCTGGGCAGAGAACGTACACACTTTTGGGACTCGTAATGCCTCTCCTGGGAAAGGCGGGGTCCGTCTTCCGCTCCCCCAGCAGTGTGGGGAACGGTGCCCTCTCCCTTGCTGGGCAGCAAGCGCCTCTTCCCAGTGCTGATTGGATCTTGGTGCCTCTCGCCCTCAGCTGCACAGAAGCTCTGCCGCCTCTTGGGACTGGGGGTGACGGATTTCTCCCGAGCCTTGCTCACACCTCGCATCAAAGTTGGCCGAGACTACGTGCAGAAAGCCCAGACGAAGGAACAGGTAGGCAGGGCTGGCAGTGGGCAGGCACAGGAAGAGCCAGGCACCCTGGCCCTGGGTCTTTAAACCACGTATGCCGTTTTTCCCACCACGCAACAGACTTTTGCTGAGTGCCCGCTCCGTTACCGATCCTGGTCTAGGTGCCAGGAATAAAAGCAGTCATCAAGACAAATACCAGGCCCTCAGGGACCTCAAGTGATAGTAAGGAAATGGATAATAAAAGTTAAACGAGATGTGGCTGGGAGTGGTGGCTCACGCCTGTAATCCCAGCACTGTGGGAGGCCAAGGTGGGAGGATTGCTTGAGCGCGGGAGTTTGACGCTGCAGTGAGCCGTGATTGCACTACTGCACTCCAGCCTGGGTGACAGAGTGAGACTCTGTCTCTAAAAAAATTAAAAAGTTAAAAAATTTAACAATAATTTAAAAAAACAGGATATAAATGCAACATGGTATTCTAGAAAAACAGAAAACAAAAGCTCAGGATGCTTTTAGATGGTGACAGCACCTATGAAGGGGAGGTGTGGTTGGTCAGGAAAGTCCTCTCTAAGGACATAACATTCGAGGGGAGACCTAGACGGTTTGAGGCAGACGGAACCGCAAGTGTAAAGGCCTTGGGGGTGGAGCAGGCTTGGGGAGTTGGGAGCATTAAGCGGGTCAGTGAGGCCGGGTGTGGTGGCTCACGCCTGTAATCCCAGCACTTTGGGAGGCCAAAGAGGACAGATTGAGTTCAAGACCAGCCTGGGCAACATGGTGAAACTCCATCTCTACTAAAATACAAAAATTAGCTGGGCGTGTGGCACACGCCTGTAGTCCCAGCTACTCGAGAGGCTGAGACACGAGAATCACTTGAACCTAGGAGGCAGAGGTTGCAGTGAGCTGAGATCATGCCACTGCACTCCAGCCTGGGTGACAGAGCGAGACTCTGTCAAAAAAAAGAAAGAAAAGGAAGGAAGGGAGGGAAGGAGGGAGGGAGGGAGGGAGGAAGGAAGGAAGGAGAGAGAGAGAGAGAAAAGAAAGAAAAAGAAAGAAAGAAAGAGAGAGAGAGAGAAAGAGAGAAAGAAAGAAAAAGAAAGAAAAAGAAGGAAAGAAGGAAAAGAAAGAAAAAGAAAGAAAAAGAGAGAAAGAAAAAATTGAAGGAGGTCAGGTCAGTGAGGCTAAAGAGGAAGGGAGAGAGGGTGGGTGAATCCACAGTCAGAAATATCAGCAAGGGGCAGATCATGCAAGGTCTTAGGGGCCACAGCAAGGAGGTGAGTTTTATTCAAAGTACATAGGAGGCCAGTGAGGTTTTAAGCCAGGGAGTGGCTTAATTCAGTTTGTCTTTCACAGAAAGATCCCCTTGGCTGCTGCATGGAGAGAATTGGGTTCAGGGATGCAGGTAGAGGCAGGGAGACTTAAGGAGGCTGCAGCCAGAGTCTTGGCAATCATGGGAGCTCACACCAGGGTGGTGGCAGGGAGGGTAGAGTGGAGTAACCACAGGCCAGGGAGGGTTTCAGAATCCAGCGTTTGGGCAGAGGCCTCTGCTGGCCCTAGGCTGGGCAGTGAGGTGCCTGGATGAAGTAGATGCTGTAGGGGACAAGAGGAGTTTGGGAGCCACACTGACCCTGGTTCAAGCTCAGCTGGGGTACTGTTGTTAGTTCCCATTTTACAGAGGAGAAAACTGAGGCACAGAGAGGTTTATTCACATGCCTGAGGTCACACAGCCCCCAAATGGCAGAGCTGGGATTCAAACCCAGGTTGTCCGGCTCCAGAGTCCACGCTCTTAACTGCTGTGCAGTAGAAACTGGTTTGAGGGGTGAGGGGAGGATTCACGGGCTAACACACCCGAGCCTGTCACATAGTACCTGACGCAGTCGGACTTCAGGAATGTCTGCCTGTTGTTCGTGGCATTGTTCTTGATGGTATTTCTGGTCAAGGAACTGGGAGGCGACCTTAAGGGAGATGAGCTGGGGGCCCTTCCCCGGTCCACCTCTGACGTCTTTCAGTCTGCCGATGTGCAGGCTGCGCCCTTACCACCAGCCCTGCCCCACAGGCTGACTTCGCGCTGGAGGCCCTGGCCAAGGCCACCTATGAGCGCCTCTTCCGCTGGCTGGTTCTGCGCCTCAACCGGGCCTTGGACCGCAGCCCCCGCCAAGGCGCCTCCTTCCTGGGCATCCTGGACATCGCAGGCTTTGAGATCTTCCAGGTCTGCCCTTGTGCTGGGAGGGGGATGCCAACTTCCTCACTCGGGTCCTGGTCCTTTCTGAAGCCCTGGGTCTCTCCCCTTCTCCCTGGTCTCTGTCCCCCTCTCTCTCTCTGAGTCTCTGTCCCCTTCTCTCTGGTCTCTGTTCCTCTCTCTCTCTGGGTCTCTGTCCCCGTCTCTCTCTGGGTCTCTATCCCCCTCTCTCTCTGGGTCTCTGTCCCCTGTCTCTGGGTCTCTGTCCCTCTCCATCCTCCCGGCTCATGTGTCCTGCGTCCCTGCAGCTGAACTCCTTCGAGCAGCTCTGCATCAACTACACCAACGAGAAGCTGCAGCAGCTCTTCAACCACACCATGTTCGTGCTGGAGCAGGAGGAGTACCAGCGTGAGGGGATCCCCTGGACCTTCCTCGACTTTGGCCTCGACCTGCAGCCCTGCATCGACCTCATCGAGCGGCCGGTGAGCCCAGGCCCCTCCCAGCCCACACAGGGTTCAGCTCCGTCTCTCCCAGCATCTGCGTGACCACGGTCTAGCTCCTCCTCTGTTGGGCCTCAGGATGCCCCATGGGTTCTGTGAGGAAGGTGACAGCACCTGCTTCCTCGATCTTTTGTGACCATAGGTGATTAGGGCTCAGAACATGCCTGTCACAGGGCCTGGCTCGAATCATTCGTTTAATCAGGGCTCTCACTGTAACTGTCGTTCTCACATTTGTTTTTATGTCCAAGTGTGACTTCTTTTTTTTTTTCTTTTGAGACGGAGTCTCGCTCTGTCGCCCAGGCTGGAGCGCAGTGACCAGATCTCGGCTCACTGCAAGCTCCGCCTCCCGGGTTCACGCCATTCTCCTGCCTCAGCCTCCCGAGTAGCGGGGACTACAGGCGCCCGCCACCTCGCCCGGCTAGTTTTTTGTATTTTTTAGTAGAGACGGGGTTTCACCGTGTTAGCCAGGATGGTCTCGATCTCCTGACCTCGTGATCCGCCCGTCTCGGCCTCCCAAAGTGCTGGGATTACAGGCGTGAGCCACTGCGCCCAGCCAAGTGTGACTTCTAAGAGCTAAAAATCAGCAGCCACCTGAGTGTTCAATATTTGGGGATCTGACTTACTCTCCCCCTGCTGTCGATGGCCAGGCCAACCCCCCTGGGCTCCTGGCCCTGCTGGACGAGGAGTGCTGGTTCCCGAAGGCCACAGACAAGTCGTTTGTGGAGAAGGTAGCCCAGGAGCAGGGCGGCCACCCCAAGTTCCAGCGGCCGAGGCAACTGCGGGATCAGGCCGACTTCAGTGTTCTGCACTACGCGGGCAAGGTAGGGGCTGGGGCCAGCCTTGGGGCATGTGAATGGGAGTGGGGATCAAGAGGTCTCCACTGGCTACAGATGGGGGGAGGGTCTAGAGGGAAAACCGGGTCCTCCTGAGGTCCAGACAAACAGAGCAGGGGCTAGGAGAGCCCAGGGAGGAGCAAGGACTCTGTCCGATGGGATCACCAAAAACTTCCTCAAAGAGGTGATATTTGCAGTGGGTTTTGAGGGATGGGTAGGAGTTCATCGGGAGGCGATCTATGTGCATTTTATCCACTTATTCAGCAGACGTGTGCGGGCTGCCATTTGTGTGCCCAGCTCGGTGCCGACCAAAGCTGGATACACAGATCAAACGTGGTTTCTCTCCTCACAAAGATCCCTATCTAGGAGGGAGGCAAATACAGACCATCAGGATATAAGGTCAATAGGTGTTTGAATGGAGGCAGCTGAGGGTAGTGTCAGAGCCCGGAAGAGAAATACCTGGGAAAGCTTCACAGAAGAGAATATGCTCAATCTCAAATCTCAGCCAAGGGCCAGCAAACATTTTCTGTAAAGGGTCCGATAGTAAATAGTTTCAGCTTTGTGGGCCAGACGGTCTCTGTCACAGCTACACAATTCTGCTGTGGTCACACAAAAAGAACCACAGATAATACATAAGCATCTTCAAGTCCCCAGGGAAAAAGAAAGGAAAAACAGAGTGAGATACAGTCTGGAAGGCTTTCCTGCCCCCCCCCCCAAAAGACCCCCATGAGTTTGACTATGAAGACATAAATGAAGGTTCTATTCCAATAAAACTTTTTTTTTTTTTTTT